GGCTGGCCTGGGAATGGCTTGGTGTTCCCCCCGACAAGCTGGAGGAAATGGCTGGGGAGAGGGAGGTCTGCGCATATGGATGGATGTTGATGTGTATTATATCACAATGAATTACCAACTGGATTAAAAAAGACAGCTGTGACTCTCAACAGCTCCAAAACCAAAGATTCACATATAGATGACTAATTTGATTGTTTTTTTTAAGGAATTTGTGACATCAAGATACAGAATGTGGCTAGGTATGTGGTGGGTTAGGTATAATTGAATATTCTTCCTTACTGCCCTAATCATGCTTCTCTTTCTTTAGTGGGAACCAGTTTTATTTTACTTCATATTGTGGATATAAAGTGCATATCCCACAATAAAATTTGACATATTCGAAAATCAAATAATCTAGCGCTTAACAAACTTAACAAACTGCTTTTTGTTTCTTTGTGTTTCTTGGCATATTATCAGTTATATTGTTAGTTAATTGATCTCGTGGCAGGTTAGGCCTCCAGTGCTTAACAAATTTGTGAGACCATCTACCACAAAAATAAGAAAATATAAATATTTTAGAAATCTGTCAAAAACATGTTTAAAATGACTGAATGCACTAAACTGAATTCATATTTTTACACACCCATTTTAGCTGGCACACTGGACAGAAATTAATCAAGAGAACATTCAAACACTAAAAAACAGATTTTATTTCTGTCTTTACAGGTGAAAGTAAGCAAATGCAATCTGGCATCTTAATCAAAAGATAACAATGTGCTGTCCAATTTTTCCAGCTTTGTTTGTAAAACTTGTGGATATTAACAATAACTATATTTTAACATTAAAACCAACATTTCAAGAGCTTATGCATATTGGCTGACTGGCCATTAGCCATGAAACGTAACAAATGATTTGGGTTATTACCATTCATCCATCTTCTTCTGCTTAACCAGGGGTCATGGTGGCAGCGGCCTAAGCAGAGAAGCCCAGACCTCCCTCTCCCTGGCCACCTCCTTTTGCTTGTCCGGGGGTCAGGGAAACAGTAAGGCATTCCCAGTCCAGCTGAGAAATATAATCTCTCCAGCATGTCCTGGGTCTGCCCTGGGGCCTCGAAATAGGGGAACATGCCCAGAACACTAGCCTAAGGATAGCCATAATTTGGAGAAAGCTCACTTTTGACTCTTGTATCCACGATCTTGTTCTTTCAGTAATTACCCAAAGCTCGTGACCATAGGTGGGATGTGGACATACACTCAGGGTATCTCAGGTACCCTGGCAGAGTGTATAAGGATCAAATGGCTCATAGCAATGGGCCAGACTCCCAGTATTCCCAAATGCCTTCTCCAAACCCACAGAACACATGTAGACTGGCAAACTCCCATCCACCCTCAAATATCCTTGATAGGGTAAAGAGCTGGTCCAGTGTCCCGTGACCTAGAACACTCCTTGTTCCTCCTGTATCCAAGGTTTGACTAACAGATGGACTCTCTTTTCCAGCACCCTGGGATAGACTTTGCTGGGGAGGCTTAGCAGTGTGATCCCCCTGTAGTTGGAGCAGACCCTCCAGTCCCCCCTTCTTGAAGATGTGAACCGCCACCCTCGTCTGCCAATCCAGAGGTACTGCCCCTGATCTACATGCAACAGTGTAGAGGTGTGTCCGAAGACAGCCCTACAAGATCCAGAGCCTTCAGGAACTCAGGGCGGACCTCATCCATCCCAGGAGCTCTGTCACCAAGGAGTTGTTTAATTGCCTCGGTGACCTCACCCCTGGTAATGGACAAGTTGTTCCCCTTGTGTCCAGACTCTGCTTCATCTATGGAAGACCTATCAGTGCAATATCCTCAGTTGAAGTCAGCAGTGCTCCACCGGTACTTTACACAGTGCAGGTACAGCACCCCTTTGCCCTCCTGAACGGCCTGACGGTTTGCCAGAATGTCTGTGAGGCAGTCCAAAAGTCTTTTTCCAAGGCCTCTCTGAACTCCCACACTCCCATAGTATTTGCTTCAGCAACTACTTGCTCTCTTCACTTGAGTGTCCAGAACATACAGACACAGATCTGATGATATGAATACAAAATAAATCATCGACCTGCAACCTAGGGTGTCCTGGTGTTACGTGCACTTATGGAAAAACTTATTGTGGTGTGAATGAGACACGACGGGTCCAAGGATCATAGTTTTGAGCCATCTTTATTGACATGCGTCACACCACAACAACACCAATCCCTCAGTCCCCGTGTTTTTTTTTGTTGCCTATCTCATTTGGGTCTTTTGCTATCAGAATTGTCTAAAGGCAAAGAAAGATGCCCAATGGATTTACTTTACCAAATTGACCATCCCAGCCTTGCCATAATGGTCCATTTGATTCACCTTTTATTGTTTATTTTATTTTCACTTGCTGAATACGGGACAGACTTGACTGGGGGAAAGAAAGGGAGAAAGAAAGAGGGAAAGAGAAACTGCTGAGAAGAGGGACGGGGGAGAAGGGCAAAAAACAAAGTCCCCGTGTTTTAACAGCATCTGCGTGATCTGCAGATGCCGCGCAGGTGTGTCCGCATGGCACCACGGGCCACGCCTCACCACACTTATGTTCAAACGTGGTGTTCGCTATTGATAAACTGTGGTTTGCACAGAAGTCCAGTAATGGAACACTCATCTGGTTCAGATCTGGCGGGCCGTTCCTCCCAATCACACCCCTCCAGGTCAAACTGTCGTTGCCCACATGAACATTGAAGTCTCCCAGTAAGATGACAGAGTCCACCAACTTGTTCCCCAAACCAAAGGCACAGTGAACTGTTCTCTTGATCTTCTACTCATAAGGGTTTTTGAATGGCTCTTTGTCTGGTCCCTCACCCAGGACCAATTTGCCATGGGAGACCCTACCAGGGGGCACCCCCCCTGACAACATAGCTCCTGGGACACACAAACCTGTCCACCACAATAAGGTAGCGATTCAAGGAGGTTATTACCAATACTGGTAATTTAGGGCAGCTGTGGATAAACCATACATGTCAAGAGCCGTAGTTCAGCACACAAGCTGGACCCAGAAGCAGAGACAATACGCCAAGGTGCACGCAAAATAAACTTTATTTCTAATTACGGGTGTCCCGAAAGGGTCAAAGGGAAAACACGCAGAGTAAATGGGAAACAAAGGGACCGGGAGATAAGCAACTCGGGAACGCCGTAATCAGGACCGTGGGAGGCTGCAACAGAAAGAGGAAGAGAGTTACTGGGTAGCGGGGGAATAACAGCATACGCGGGGTAGAGTTATTAATCTTACGATCAGGGCTGGGCCGTGGTAACCGGAGGGAGGGGTGAGGGTCCGCGGGAGAGCTGCAGGGAAACAGAGGAGATGATGACCGGTGGCGATCCGAACTCCAGGCGGGCAGGAGGACAGACAGGAGGAGGCTCAAAACATGCAGAACGGTTACCTGAGCACACAATGAAATTCACAACCACCTTCACCTGGGGGCCAAGTTACCGCTGAAAGGTGACTAACGGACTGGCGTGAAGCAGCTGGCTGAGCGGGGTTAAATAGTCCACCTGATGATCGCCTGGAATGGGATGCAGGTGTAGAGTCGACAGCCACACCCGTGGGCGTGGGCATCCCATCAGCCGCTTGGACACCGGGCCGCGGACCATGACAATACATGTGCTACATGCAGACATTTCTGCATCTCTGCTTTTTAAAGACACTTTGTATATAGTTTATTTGATGTAATATTTAATAGTGAACTGTAAATTTTGGCTTTTTTTCAAGGAAGCAATTTTTATTCAGTGTTTTCATAAAAGCCTTATTTTTATGCATTTACTACTACTGAAACCTTTCAAAATGAAGTTCCACCCCTGTGTGCATGGATTGTCAGCAGGGCAAAAGATTCAGCTCCCACATACCAAATAACTTACATATGAAATTATCTCGCAGGCCAGATATAATTGGATGTGGCCCGTGAGCTGTGACCTGGTCTAAACATTGTATCAAGCACTGTAAATAGGCATGCATGGGGATCAGGTGTGATCCCCTATTAGATCCTACCTTCTTTTATATATTAATGAATTGCAGAGCCAAAATTAATCTGGGTGTGGTATTTCATGCTTTTTCATGCTTATATGTCAGAGCTTCTTAAAAGTGGAACTTTTCTTTCAAACAATTGTTCAGGCACTAATTATGGCTGATAGGCTCCACTAAACAATTTAATTTGTTTTAATGACAGTACAAGGTGAGGAGGATTTTTTTTTTAACGATGCCTGATATCATAGCAAACAGCTAAATGTTAAGTGACTGCACAGTAAGAGTGATTGATAGATATTGAGATTTCTGCAGATGTTAAATGAGCATTATTAAACTCATGTCATGTGATTAACATGACTCTCGTCAATGTGGGTCAAACTTATTTACACAGAGGCTCTCCTTTCCCACAGTCTCAGTGAATGGCAACGCCTGTTTATGGGCTGGGTGCTCAGGCAAATTAAGGTACACTGTGCCATCTGTTAATATGACTAATTTTCCTCAGCACACTGTACAGCAGGACTGGAAGATTCTGGTTCTTTTAGAAAAGCTCTGGTCTCGTTTTTGCAAGTCACATCTCGAATGAATAAAACTGCCTTTGTTCCCTACCTTTTATTAGCTGACTATGCAGTGGGAGGGAGTTCAGGTCCATTGTAAGTCCTCTTTGTGAAGGAATCCTGCTTCACAGTTGTGATTGTCGGGTTTCCTGAATGTATCTGAATAAAGAAACATACTTTGAATAAACAAAACTAATAGGATATCCTTGATGACCCAAGAAACATTTGGGAGTAGCTAAATTCTAGATTCAAACTCAAGTTTTCAGGGAGTTTTATGCCACTGAAACTTGTTCAACAGGTTTTTTATTTTGGGCTGCCATGCTATGTCAATGTTTTTGCTGCTGGCAGAGTTGCTGGACTGGCTTGAGCCACAACACTCAAGTAGCATGACTTCTGATCTAGTCTACCCACCTTCATGTATATGACAAGATATTATTTTACTCCTTCACAACAGATTTGCTGAAAAAACTAAAACCCAGAGTTCAAATGTGATCACAGGTATTGGGTTGGGGTTTTGCATATCCAGACAGCTAAGGATTGTTTTGAATTTGGGTTAAGGGTTATTTTAAGTTATTTTGAACACATGACCAGTAGTCATGGGATTATTATGCATCACATGCACAAGTCTAATGAATTCTAAATTAGTCAGAATTGAAACAGAATTGCTAAATGTACTTTGAGAGGGTGCCAGGCCATACAAAAAAAACGACTTTGATTCATTTAAAGAAAATTGTATCATACTGTATGATTGTATGTAAAGATAACTGAGGAAATGGTTAAGCAGACAGAAAGAGCAATTTCACTGGTCTGGCCCACTTGAAAATGAGCATGACATCCCTGGTGTAGAGTAAATAAATGTATGGTTAAATGTGGCTCGTGTATAAATGCCAGACCATTCCTCCACTCCATTCCATTCTTTTGGCACTGCCTTTTCACAATTGAACCAATTGGAAGGCCTGATAGGTGGGCCACAGTTAAAGACCAGCCAATCGCAGCGTCACTCTGCATAGAGCATTACGACCTGCAGACACAATTCCTATGTTTGTCACAGTGTGTCATGTTGGTGAGGAGTTACTCTGTGGATAATTGGCGGTAGCACGCCGGCTGATTTGCAAGATTACGATTTTTATTTTTTTAATTGATTTAATTTGCGCTACCGCGGAGTGAGACAGTTGGAGCTTCGAGGGCGCTCCGTGTTTCCAAAGCCCAAAATAGAAATAGTCGCTGTCAGGAGGACTACTGTTTTGTTGATGTCATCCGTGGCAGAGCTGTAGCGACCTTCAGTTTCTAGACAAGAAAACAAAGACGTGTTTTTGTTTTTTTTAAACCCCTCTCCTTTGTTTTGTCAGTGGCAATAGGAACGAAGATGGGACTATTGCTCCGCGGCATCCTGCTGTTATCGGCTTGCACTTTCACAGCAGGTGTAGATTTTCAGCTGGGCTCCAAGCCCCTCGGGCAGTCAGCTTTTGTGAGGCGTTCAAACACTGAAGGGAAAGCTGCGAAAATCGTAAAGAGGTCTCTTCCCGCATGGCTGGCTCCATCACCAAACCACAAGATAAAAAGAAGAAGCACCGAAGAGGACGACTCGTGTAAAGCTCTTCAAGGATATGTCACCAAGTTGGACGCCAACACCCACGATGTAAGTTACCCTCTGAGGTCCTGTTACACTTCACACGTCTGACAACGAGAAGATGATACGCAGGTGCTAAGCAAGTGCAGGGACTAGGCCTAATAAGCTATTCATTGCACTCATACTCATCAGTGGACTCCCATGTCCTCTTATTACCTGTATGTCCGGTAGCCTAAAATACATAAACCAGTATTTTTGTGTCAATAAACATGGATTCTAAACAAAACACCTTACGTGTTACCATAAGGGGTGTTGCAATGTACCTAGTACTTTTCCCAGGCTCAGGCAGTCTTGCCAGGTATCCCATTGCCTTGTTGCTTAACACCTCTAGGCTGCAATGATTTCTTTTCTTTAATATTTGGAGCAGTGAGGTACACTGTACTTAGTCTTCCTCGTGCTTTAGACTTGCATTGGTTGCACAGAATGACATCAATGCTTTTTCAAGCGTTGCACTAAAGGCTGTGACCTGTATGTTATTTGTCATTTTAAGCATGGAACTGTATTCTGCTATTAAACTATCCAATCTTTCCTCTGCCTTCACTCAGTGAATATGCCTTAATGTTTCCAGGAAAATTGGCCCAGTGGGAATCCATGTGACTTGCTGTGCAGCAGTTATTTTGTAATTAAAGCTGTGTTTGTGTGGTATCAAAAGCAAAGTTTAAGCTTCAGAGAGTTCTTCTTCGTCTTCGTCTTCTTCTTCGTCTTCTTCGTTTATAGCATATACTCTATCCAGGAAGATAAAACATCTGATCTACACAACTATGCAATTCTTTCCACAAAGCAAACGAGAGTCCTGTGCTGCTTATTTCCCTAGCTCCTCACTGCCATGTGACCAACTTTGCATTGCAGTCTTTGTATACTTGTCCCCAGTAATCTGGAGTTGATAGAATTCCCAGTGGCTCAGCCGCCTCCTTGCCCTGAGGATAGTGCTGCAGGTTCAACCAGTACTGAAGCTACTTATGCTGAAAAAGACTCATTGTGACCATCCATGCAGTTGATGAATAATGGGACACTTGATAGAACTTAAGATTTAAAGCTTTCGTAACTGACTCTGACAATTAAAGCAAGTTTTCTTTGTTTAACTTTTGCCCTAGCCCTACAGCTAAATTCAGCTAACTACAGCTAAGGTTTAATTTCCCCCAAAATTAAATTACTTGTCTTGTGGTATTTTGTAGCTGCGTTCGGAAGTCTTTCAAGTAACTGCTCGAAGCTTTAGGTCTGCTCGCCTGTTCTGCTAACAGAACAGACACTTTGTACACTAAACTGGCTATGCCAGAACAAATGGTGAGGTGAAACATGCTGCCTGTCAAAGCAAAAATACATTTGAAGCAAAAACTCAAATAGGCTGTGGCTGCAGTTTATAATTGCAATGTCAGTTTGTCCCTTTTTGTGAGCTCAGCTGAAATAGTTGTGCTGTTTCACACAGTTCACACTGCCTTTTCTATGTTTTACATATTTATGAACATGTTTTGGCTGTTTGTCTCAGTTTGAATTCCATGACCTGAGTGGCTCGGTGTCGCTGGCTTGGGTTGGAGATGGCACAGGGGTGAGTGTACTTATCACCATTTGCACCTAACATGTTTTCCGTTAGTTATGTGGTGTGGTTTTTTGCAAACTTGGCTTTGTAGACTGAATGCAGATGACACACTTAAGGGTCTTGTGCACTTTAATAAATGGTGCATGGTCCACTTTCCTTAAGCTAACCTTCCTTCTTGGCAGGTTATTCTGGCCTTGACGACATTTCAGGTCCCGTTCTTCATGGTAAAACTTGGACAGTCGAAACTCTATCGAAGGTAATGGAATTTACCTTTTAATCTGGAAAAATGCACATGGCTTACATTTTATTTGCATTTAATTTGACTGAAACAATTTTTCTGCCAGTGAGGACTACGGCAAGTTATTTCAGGATGTAACCGGCCTCATCAACAACACCTTCATAAGATCAGAGTTCGGCATTGCAATCAGCCCCAATAACTCAGGCAAAGTAAGCCTTATCTTGATCAAGTCCTCACCACATGTACTTCATGTACTCAAGAGTATTTTTAGATGTGAACTAACCACTGTTCCCGCAGTTAAGAACCTGTTGAACTCTGGCTTTTAGGTGATTCTGACAGCTGAAGTGTCTGGAGACCTCAAGACCTGCATTTTTGTCTCTGAGGACTTTGGAAAGAGCTTCACCGACCGGAACTTGCCTTTCAACCCCTTGACGCAGATCACGTACAACCCTGAGAATTCCAGTGTGCTGGTTGTCCTCAGCAACGACGTAAGGAGTGAATACTAAAGACCTGTATTTTGTGTGAAAAGGAACCAGTTAGGATTCAAAGTGGACTGTTTCTGTCAAGTTGAAAGCTCAAGTAGTGCCTCTGCATGCATATATTACATCAAATAATTCAATGAAGGTCAAGCAGTCTTCATTGTTTTGTACGTTTGCACACAGTGCATTTATAAGCATGGCTTTTGAGTCAGTGAACTGGTTGATAGAATTCTCTTCTGCCCATGTTAATGTGGGGCTGTTGCAGATACGTACTGACTTATTCTTTGTTGTTTCCTTTCTCAGTATGAGCTGTGGCTGTCTGAAGACTTTGGCGTAAATTGGAAAAACATTCACAGAATGGTGTGTCTGGTAAAATGGTAAGAAAAGACAAACTGATAGCTCCAGAATCTTCTTCAGGTGCGCAGTGAACAAGTACCTACTTTATAACCACAATAGCAAAAAGTTTCAAGGTTCAAGGTTCTTTATTTGTCACATGCATAGTTATACAAGTATTCATGGAATTGTTTTTAGTCACTTTAAGGGGGAAGTAGAGCAAAAGGCTTTTTTACTGGTATGGCATGCTGCGATATTTCAGGAAGTGATTGTACAACCTGCAAGGCAGCATGACTTTTAGTTTTTCCAACAGCCTCATTGTTACAGACAGAGGAAGACGGTGAAGTTCCACCTGTCTCTAATATAGTGCTTCATTGTTTATCAAAATAAAATATGCTTAAACTTACTCTCTTCTTAATGTGTTTAAAGTTATTCAAACATGCCCCTTTGATGATTTAAGATAAGCAAAGGAAGATATACAATTTTTGTCATTATGGGACATACATGTTCAGTGGTTTTCTATGAGGGTTTATTGTTGCTGCGCCTTTTTTCTTCCCCCCCAAATGGGCACTAAAACTACATTGCAGTCATCGGCTGTTTAACTACCCATTTTGTGGCCAAGCCCTTGCAGCACAAATGCTGTTTTTCATGGCCCTTCCTGGTATTTGTCACAGTCTTATCTTGGCATCTCTGTCTTTTAAGTTTCAGCTTTAAGGCTGTGTTGTCCAGGTGTCCAGAGGAACTGCGCGTTCAAAGTCTTCCTGAAACATAATCTTTGATTACTGTCCATAAAGAAGTTAGGCTTAAAAGGCTGCAGGAAAATGGGTCACTTTTATCTGGGTCAGGAATTTTCTGAACACAACACTCAACAGAAACAGAAAGTACATATTTATAAAGGGCTGGTTGTATACGATAAGCAGTATCATGTGACTTGCACTGTGAAGCAAGACTTCACAGTAGTCTTACAACAGCAGAGTCCTGTATTAGACCCGATTTCTTCCTTGTTGCGAGAATGCTTGTGCATGCACTGTTGTTTATTAAGTTGCAAGCATACCATTACATACTCATAATAAAGCAGTGTACATTTGTTTTACTAAATATGTCACTGACTGTGTAATCACTCTATGATCTCCATTCTCCTTCTAGGGAAAGAAAAAATACAATCTACTTTACAGCCAGCCTCAACGGCTCCTGCAGTAAGTAATTCCCCCATCTAACCAACGCTGGAGTAAATCGACATGTACTTTAATCTCATTTATTTTTGTGTTGTAGATGACTGGGGAGCAGTGCATGAAATATGTCTCTTGAATTTATTTAGGGCAGTGTAGAATAAAAGATCACATAAAAGATTTAAGTGGAAACATGCTTCACACTGATGTATACTCCCAGCCAGCTCTAACTTCCTCCATATTTTCACGATTTAGGCTGTCATTTCTCTTAAAAATTACACGTAACTATTAGCTGCACTTATATTTTTGCATGCATTTGTTGCTCTTGCACGTCTAAGTTGTGATATTTTTTTTATTTTATTTATTTATTTATTTTTTCCTTTCAATTTTTCAGGTGATCGAGGTATGCTGGAACTGAGGAGGACGACCAACTATGGCAAAACCATCAAGACTGTTGCCAGTAAGATCTACTCTTTTGGCCTTGGCGGACGCTTCCTCTTTGCATCAGTAATGACGGGAAAGGTCAGTGTACAGCGGGTTGTAATCTAGATAATAATATGCAAACTAGATCAGGCGAAATATTGTTTGTTTGCTTTTCTCTGTTCATGACATTATTATTATTATTATTATTATGTTGTAGTACAAGCGTATTCAAAATAGCTGTTCCTTCTGTTGGTTTGTTTTTTAAAGAGAGATCACTTGGTTCATGTAACTACACACTTATGAGGAAGTTTAAAAGTGACATCGTGACTGATGGAGAAATTAGCAGAAAGCAATACAATCATAAGCATATTCATATTCCTCCCTCAGGAGAGGTCATTTTTACTCAATTTATCAGAGCCTAGATATGAGAATAGCTTGCTAAGTGTTCTTCTAATTTGCCCCAGTACAGGTAAACAGTATTAGTAATAAAAGTATGTGAGCTGTTCCTGTCCTCGCCTCCTTTCATCTGTTTTCTTTCCTTCCCCACCTTTTCCACAGGGCACTCTGCGGACAATCCACGTGTCAGTGGATCAGGGTGATAGTTGGAACATTGCCCAGCTGCCTCCTGTTGGTCATGAGCAGTTCTACTCTATCCTGGCAGCGAACGATGAAATGGTCTTCATGCATGTCGACGAGCCAGGAGGTCAGCAGATAAAGAAACTCTGTACTTTTTCTTGTAGTGAATGTAGAGAACTGAGTGAACTGAAAGCATGGTATTTATTACTATATTACAGTGTGAAGGTTTTTATTCGTCCTCACGTGAGCAACTAGACCTTCAACATATTAACCTTGTACTGAGTAATAAGTTAGATTCAAAAGTCATACATCAATCATTAATTGTCATTCACAGCACTTCTGATTACTTTCATGTTTAGCACACAAAGCCAAATGTGATTTTTCTTTTAGATGCAGGGACTTTTCTGAGTGAGCCAAAGTTTTATGTGGTAGTTTGAACAGTGCCTGCAAATGGCTTTTGTTAAAAAGGCCCTAGAGCTTGTTTCACCCCACCTATGCGTCAGAGAGTGTGTCTTGGCAGATCTTATTACAGAACCAGCCCTGAAACAGTATCTTGAAACGGGTATTATTACCTCACATTACATTTTAATACTTTTTTTTTTCTACAGATACTGGATTTGGTACAATCTATGTGTCAGACGACCGAGGTACTGTGTATTCCAAGTCACTGGAGCGCCACCTTTACACCACTACGGGGGGAGATACAGACTTCACTAATGTTACTTCTCTACGAGGAGTTTTTATCACCAGCGTCCTGGCTGAAGGTAGCTCTAGTCTAACTCTGTTCTATTCGAATGTTTTAGATAAAGAAGTAACAACATATACATGTAATCAGATTCCCCCTGAAACACACACATGCATGGACGCAATACACAGACATGCATGCACAAAGACACACACACACCTGTGACTGCTCTATTTTACACCAGAGAGATGGTGTTGTATAAATATTTAAATAGCTGCTCAGTGTTAGATGTGTTACCTGTCTGAAGTAGCTGAGCACCACCTAAACCTTGCAGACAGTATAAATCTGACTAAATATTGCTGGGGACAAAAACATATTGAAGTTTTTTCCCCAGCATGCTATTTCCAGACAGGAGTTCCCACAAAGTTTCTGCAACTGTAGAAGTTTTGTCTTGTTGTTCCAGATAACTCTGTGCAGTCTGTGGTGTCCTTTGACCAGGGAGGGGAGTGGGTACCCCTCCAGAAACCTGCCAACAGCAAGTGTGATGCTACAGCCAAGGACCCAGACAAGGTAAATAAAATATTAGAAAAATAAATAAAATAAAAGGGGAAAATGGAAGAAGTTGCTTTGTTTAGAGAAAAAACAAAATTGATGTGTCCTGGTGAAAACTGTTGTACATGTCTATAAAGTACAGGGTCAAACTGCTATGAGAAATCACTTTTTAAGTACAGATCAAAACTTATGTTATTGAGACTAGGGCTCAGTTCTTCTTCTACTTCTTTTTCAGTTGAGCCTTGATGTTTACAGTGACATATTTTTTTATAAAATAAACGGTTTTTCTTTTTTAAAATGACATTAAAGCATAAATAAAATAAATCCACACTAATCAATAAATAATCTACTTTAAAGCTTTATTACCAAACATTAAATGTTTAGCCCAGGACTGTGGTGTCAGGCCTTAAAAGGCTGCTTGTTGTAATGTCTTTTTATTGCTGATGTTTTTAAACATGTTTCTGCAGCAGGCCTGGGAAGTGTAGCTTTAAAAACTAGCTATTTTTCCTGGAGATATTCCTTCACACTTCATGGAATTCTGTCATCTGGAAAAACACTTGTTAGCCTTGAGTAATGTGTTACCTTTGCCTTACCTGGTTCTGTCACTCATAGCCCATAGTAAAGGTTCAGCCCAGAAGCAGTGTAATGAGAAATAAAGTAAAACGAGTGCGGTTTTTAAACCTAAACAAATTCTAAAAAGCAGATGCAGCTCTTCCTTTAGTCCGATTTATGTTGATAACAAAAACTCCAACCCAGACCTTCCTCTCTTCATATGAAGAGGAAAGGAAACAAAAATGGATTCAGATTGTTGTTTATAAACTCTACAGACTGGAAACTGTCGGTCATGTTGGGCAGTGAACATTTGATGTAGTTTTAATTGTTAAGGAAGCATCGACAGTGTTTTGGTATATCAAGCAAAGAAAACTTGTGTAACTTGTGTTTAGTTCATGTAACTACAGGAGCTCAATTGTGGATATGAAACTGATTGCCCTGAATGTGTTAGTAAGGGATGCTTCTGTTTTTTTGGGGGTTTTTTTGATTGCACAAAGGAATGTACACTCTGTGTCAGTAAATATGAGCGTTGGTTGGATAACAAGGTTGTGTGCCTGTATGATAGAGGATTTGTGTGAAATATAACCCAGTGGTTTAAGGTTATTGATTCACCAAGCTTCCTTAGAAATTTACCCCAACCGTGCCATCGTTCTTTACTAGTGTAGCAACAGAGCTCCTCCCATCTGTGAACACTGTTATGCTACTTACTCAGCATTCACCTCAGTCTCTTATAATATATTAAAGGAGTTATTTGTATATTATTAGTTGCTGTCTTTTATATTATTATTGTGTATGTGTGTGAGCAATGTGATTTAAAGGTCCCTTCACATATATTCTTACTAGTAGCTAATAATATAAAACATTAAAGCCACTTGAAAAACCTCAGTGTTTGTGTTCACAGGTACCGTATTGTGCTATTTGAAAACTAGGACCAGCACATCTACTACTTAATACTATAAATAGCTGTGTTTGGTTTATTATCTGCAGTGCAGTCTTCACATCCATGCTGCCTACAGTACTTCTCAGAAGCTCAACATCCCCATGCTCCCTCTGACTGAACCAAATGCTGTGGGTCTCATCATAGCTCACGGTAAACTCAGAGCTTTCATAAAAATATTTTTTAAACTTTCTTTTTTTTTTTAAATAAACTTGAGCATAATTTATCTTTTAATAAATAAGAGGGTTTTTTCCCCTTCTAACATTTCTTTATCTGTATTTGCTTTATCAGGAAGTGTTGGTGATGCTATCTCAGTGATGAGACCAGATGTGTATGTGTCTGATGATGGTGGCTATACCTGGATAAAGGCTCTTGATGGACCCCATCACTATGCTATTCTGGACTCGGGAGGTCTGCTGGTGGCCGTGGAGCACAGCGTGACAAACCCTGTCAACAAGATTAAGTGAGTTGCAGTTAAAGGGAACGCCAGACTTGTTTAACTGGTATTTACTGATTTAGCTGACTGTGTGCCGCTAGAAATTCACACCTTTCCATTAATTTGATGAAATACGAACATGTTTTCTTTTATGCCATAATCATAACTCTGGGCACTTTTCCACTAATGTTACAATGGTATTCTTACTAAGTTTGACCTTTTATGTATTACTTTCACTTAGCACAGGTCTCAACTGCCACAAATAATCAATATGCATGCACAAAACTACGGTGTAGTGACATGTAGCCTTTTGCCTGTAGTAAATATCTATGCAAACTCTTGCATAGAGGCTAGTAAATATTCAATTCAGTTTTATTTATATAGCATCAAATCACAACAACAGCTGCCACAAGGTGCTTGATATTGTAAGGTAATGACACTACAATACGAAAGAAAATGGAGAAAAGCCTAACAATCATGTAACTCCCTATGAGCAAGCGCTTAGGTGACAGTGGGAAGGAAAAACTCCCTTTTAACAGGAAGAAACCTTCGACAAATCCAGGCTCGGGTAGAAGCGGTCATCTGCCACGACTGGTTGGGGATGAGGAATTTGTATGCAAACTCTTGGTCTTTGTCGTCACTGTCATGGACATTGTTTGAACCAAGCCTTGAGGAACATGAATGTAAAAAAGTCTTATGTGTAATCCATAAAATGCTGTTGGTTTTAGCCTTTTTGCTGATGCTGATTATGCTGATGTTGGAATATTTTTCTGCCAGATTCTCTACTGATGAAGGACAGTGCTGGAATGAGTACAACTTCACCAAAGATCCCATCTTCTTTACTGGACTTGCATCAGAGCCAGGAGCACGTTCTATGAATGTTAGTATCTGGGGCTACAGAGACTCTTACCTCAGCCAGTATTGGACCTCGTTTACCATTGACTTCAAAGAACTTCTTACTAGAACATGTGAGTGATGCGATTTAAACATATTGTTTGTCAGTAGGTTTTTATTTTAAATTAAACATGGTGTAATACTAACAACTTATTATTATTATTTTTTATTTTATTTTAAAGGTGGAGACGATGACTATGTGCAGTGGTTGGCCCACTCTGATGATATCAGTGATCCAAATGATGGTTGCTTGCTGGGCTACAAAGAGAAGTTCTTGCGTCTAAGGAAGGACTCGGTTTGCTGGAACGGGCGCGATTACATAGTCAACACCCAGCCAACCCCGTGTTTATGCACCCTGGATGACTTCATGTGGTAAGACTTGGAGACAGTAATATGCTGAAGTATAAGCACCGCTAACTAACTGTAACTGAGTGTTGTTATTGATGATCAGACTGTTGTAGATATTTTGCTGGAGCTCATTCAAGATGTTGTCTTTGTAATGAATGGACTTTAAAAACAGAAATGATTTGAATTTTAGCATGAGGAAATGAGATCAAATTGCAGCGTAAAAACAAATTGGAATGGCTATTTCCACATTAACGAACTGGGGCTTCAAGGACTTATTAAATGTGGCATTGTGTGACTGTTTGCAGTGACTTTGGGTACTACCGTAAAGAGAACAGCTCTGAGTGTGTGGAGCAGCCGGACCTGAGAGACAAAGTGTTGGAGTTCTGTCTGCAGGGCAAAGAGGAGCAGTTGCAGACTAGTGGGTAAGGTTCCAGCTTCAACCTTCGTATCCAAGAGATCTCTGCTCCCCACTATTGTTAGTTTAGTGTTAAACGGCGGTACTGGCAGCAATATTATCCTATAAACAGGGTCTTGCACAATCATTTTATTCAAAGCAGCATGCTGCCACTGAGCTTTGATCAGAGATATTCTTCTTGTTTTACAATATTTAAACAGATAAGTGTAACATGTGTTTGTTTGTTTTTTCTTTTCTAAAAGAGAGAAGTTTTTAGAATGAGGAAGTAATTGTCACACAGAGTAGTTAGAGGAAGCAGATAAGGGTGACAGTTTAGACTAACGCCATAAAGTAAGAGTGCATGGAAAAGTACATTTTTATTTAGGCTTGGTTGTCTCACTGCATACCTACCAATCTATAAAAGTGAGTAATTGTTGAATTCAACCCTTATGGACTGAGAGTGAGACAATATATCATATCTCGTCTTATTTTAAAACTTTATCAAAAAATTAATGTGAAATATTAATAGATGTATTAAAATATATAGATGCTTTTAAAATGATACCCTTGTAATGCATCCTCCTGGTGTTGCTTATCGAATAATC